AATGAAATGTTTGACATCTATAACAAGGGGCCAACACGGCCACCCGTATCAGCTGACACGACCCGTGTTGGCCTGGGCGTGCCATTTTTCAATCTTTGTCTGTTTTGACCCCGTAGAGCATTTTTGGAATTTTCTGGTCTGTCTATTGGATCTGTTAGTATTTGAAACGCATTTGGAAAAGGGAAGAGGAACTTTTGGATCGTGAAAGAAGGAAGGAGAAGATACAATTGAGTGCTCAGGAGAAAAGGGAGAACGAGAGATTTTCAAAGGCAAAAGCAATTGAAGATCAAAAGTAATTCCCATTTCTACTGCAATGTTGTATCTAATTGTTAGATTTACTTTATTGAATATGAGTAGCTAAATCCCCCAATGCTAGGGGGTGTCCCTGAATTGTTATTGTAATGACATTATTTTCTTTGTTTTAATAATATAAGCACGTATTTTCTTAATCAAATTTTATCGATCAATGATTTTATAACTTTTTCAACAGAAAAAATTAATTTAGTTTTACGGTTAAATTTAAGTCGGAAAAATCATTGTTAATACTATTCGATCGATAATGCCTCAGTAGATAATTCCTAGGACTAGGGTTACCCTATTGCACTTAATTACTACCGAAACCATTTTCATTGCTTGATCTCAAATTGATTTTCTATGGACATAGTAATCTGATTATGATTTTAAGAAGTTTTCTCACTAAGGCTTTAGGAGCAAACAAATTTTGCAGTCAAGAATTTGATGAAATTATGGCTATATTGTTGAAATAAGGATTAATGTTTTCGCAAGGCAATTCATACACGACCCCTAGCATGCTCTCGTATCTTGTTGAACATTGTTCATTATTTTTCTTTATTATAAAAATTTTGTTTTAAAATTCGTGAAACCAATTTTACAAACCCCCAATTGAATTTTTTTCAATTAAATTTAAATTAATCTTATATTGCCTAACGCAGTCCTCGAGATCGATACTAGGGATAATCCCCCTATTTTAACTACAATCGCTAGAATAGTACACTTGTTATTTTGCCGATTATATACCAACTCTGATCTTACTAGATGTGTTGATGATAGGAAATCTACTTCTGGTTACATTTTTATGCTGGCTAGATGTGCAATATCTTGGAAGAGTAAAAAAGAAAAGTCTTGTTGCGTCTTCTATCATGCAAGCAAAGTTTATTACTTGTTATGCCAGTGTCACTCATGTTGTTTGGTTAAGAAATTTAATTAATGGACTTCATATTGTTGATTCCATTGCTAAGCCTCTAAAGCTTTATGTGATAACAATGCAGTTGTGTTCTACGCTAAGAATAATAAAACTTCCAGTGGCTCTAAGCATTTCAAATTGAAGTATTTAACATTCAGAGATCTTGTAAAGAAAAATGACATTGGTGTTGAGTACATTGGTACTGATTTCATTTTAGTTGATCCCCTAACTAAAGGACTTAGGCCCATTGTGCTCAAAAATCATGTTGAGAGCATGGATGTTGTGAGTTATTTTGATGTACTTAGTGAGAGTTTGTTCTTTATGCCATTTTCTTATCTTGTTGTATTTTATTTTGGACACTTTAAGTGTTGAGTTGTCAAGCACTTTCTATTTTGAGAAATTGATATTATAATGAATATTGTTATTATTATTTGTCATTATTTATTTATATGGCAATTGTTAAAATTGGGACTTTGTTTCATTAGGACCACCGTGCCTATGTTTAGAGTTCGAGGTGTGGTTATAATTTTGAGCTCTGCATCTTCAGGATAACTATACTGGTGATCAATACCATATTGGAGTTGAGGTATGATTTTAAGCTTGGTGTTGTCAGGATCACTGTGCCGGTGGTCGATGCCATATTAAAGCTGAGGCATTATGGTTTGTAAAATCATGAAGTTTCTTTACCATGCATTTGAGAGAATTTTTTAAGGACTAACAAAGAAATTAGCACTTGCCTGTTTGATCACATTGACATGATATTTTCTTGTCACACTCCACACTAATGACTAGTTGATGGAGTTCGTGATATTTGTAACCCCGGAATATTTTATGTCAATGAAGGATATAATAATTGTCGTGATTCAATACTACTTGACTTTTGTTGGATGGAGTCATATTCAGACACTGCAGCTAGAATCATGCATTTCCTTAAAATGCGTCCGCATTTTAAGAAATTAGTCATTAACCCGAGAATCGTTTTCAAAATGTGTTGTAAAAATAAAAAATCACATAATTGATTTTGCCCAAGTGGTAGAATGTTAGATTTATCTAACTTTTTGTGGACTACAATCAATTATTGTTTTGTTTGTAAAAAACAGGTTAATCGTGATTCTGATGGGGATGACTAAATAAACCCTTTTATTAGTTAAGTGATTTTTTTAATTAAAGACTGAGTATCTAAAATCTGATTTATATGGGCAAAAGTGTGAGCTTTAACCCTTGACCTATATTGGGTAGGGGCTAGGGTTATATATATTATATAGTCAAGTTCCCCCCTGTAATCACAAAATCAGAAACAGAACTGACAGCTCCACAACTTGTCTCATTGAAAGTTGTGAACGGGGGTGTGAGATACAATGGAAGATCCAGTCACTCATCTCTTCCGGATTTTGAATCAAGGTGACAAGAATAGTAACCCTTAATCCCAAATCATGTCTAGAACACGTAAGTATTGATGTTCTAATTTCATATAATTCATCGGTGATTTTTTCGGCATACATTCCCCACATATTAATTTCCCTCTTACTAATAAACATTCCCCTCTATCTAAAATTCTTTTATTAAACAATCTCTATAAAAAACCCTAAACATCATATGGAAAAAAAATTACACAAAAATATCAAACATCATCATCATCGATAAGTCACAATACACAAGAATAAACTCCTAGAAAACCCCTAAACTTGCCAGCTTAACTTGTAAAATCCCTACGTTGGGAAGAGTGGCTTATCTGTCCATATTTGTTTGCTGCCACATCGTTTTAAGGTGTTTTATTTTTTTGGGTTATAGTTGTCGACTTCACTGCATTCATAGGTGGAGATGGCATGCCAAAACAGGTAGTATGGGCCACGATTTCCAGGAGTCTTCGCATGTGAGTCATCGTTCATTCCTCATCGTTATTACAATCCATATATGCTTCTAAGTGGAATGGTTTTGCAAAGTTAAGGATGTTTTTAAGTAAATTTAATAAGATTTGATGTTTTTATCGCAGAGAGAGCTATGGTTTTTATGTTTTTTTTTAATTTCAATTTTGATATATGCTTAGTACGTTAAAATATGTATAACTCACTTATTGGAAATGTATATTTCTTCTCTAGTTTGCTATTTTTGGAATGTTAAGTTAATTAAAAGTATAACTTTTAACTCTTATTCTTTGTGATTGATTTTTTTTGTTTTGCATTAAATCCCTCTCGATGAATCAATATTTTGTAATTTGTGCAGTCATATTGTTCTTGAAGACTATTGATCTAAATCTTCTCAAATTACCTTTACTTTTTTTTTAGTATGCTAACTTTCGACCTTGTAACATTATATTAATAATGTCTCACTTGTTAGCTATTAGCATTTAACTGAGGTGAGCATACGAACTGAAAAGAGGTTTTATATAGGATAACTATCAATCAACTTGAGATTTGAATATTGAACTGGTCTCAAATCAATGAAGATTTTTGAACGGGTTGAGCCTTCAAACCGAACCAAATACTTAGTAACTAAATCTTCAAACCGAAATTTTTATATGGTTTAGCTTCGAACCCAACAAAAAATTCCTAAGTGGATGAATTATTCAATCAAGGTAAAAAAAAGGTTCCTTGGTGAATTTATAATACTACCATTCAAGAATTACAAATGCACCACTTGAAAATGAACTTTATCTAAAGCACTTATGCTAAATATGAGTAAGAGAAAGTAAAGTATAATAGTTTTTAGAAAGAGTGTGAGCAGTGAGGTACGAGAGCTCACGTTTCTAAATATGAAAATATGAAAGAATAAACATTTATTTATAGGATAGAGGTTGACACAAAAAAAAATTTTAGGACTATAATTAATGAGTCAATCGATTAGCATATGCACCAGTAGATTGACTGGCCTAAAAATAATCAATGAGAAAGTTTTAAAAGGTAAGAATATATATATATATATATATATATATATATATATATATATATATATATATATATATATATATATATATATATATATATATATATATATATATATATATATATATATATATATATATATATATATATATATATATATATATATTACCATTCATTAAGATGTCCTAAATTTTTAGGGCGCATTTTTGCACTAACACAGTCGATTGGGTAAAGTGCCAATCTATTGGCAATAACAAAAAATGGTCCCGAACTTTTCTAACACTTTCAAATATTTTGGTATGAATTCAAGATATTTTTAGAGATATTTTTTTGAGAAAAATTATTTTAAAAATTTGTTTTAGTGTAGGATTAATTGTATAGCTTTACGATAAAACATTTATCTTTATACAATATTATTCACTTAGATATGTCAGGATGAGTTTTCGCACACTTCAAGACTTATCAAATACTTCAATCTTATAAACACTTTCTTTTACTTTACTTTTAAATGAGGCTTGATTTGTATTCCACTTTGGTGCCATCATTAGAGAATATTTACAGTGATCTTTTAAATTTACTTAGATTTGTCATTTATTTATTTTTTTTATGGGAAGAAATGTAAAAATTCAAGCTAATCAAATATCTTGCTCTAATAAGTAAGAATGTGATACACCATGAACAGTGGTACATTTGGAACAATCATAGTTTTAGTAATTGAGTCAAATGATCACAATCATTTTGTTTCCAATGCTTAAGCAGGTTTATTATTTGAAACTTCTATTAAAGCTAAAGAGACACCTAAAAAATCTAGCTAAAGTATTTATGCCAACAGAAAAAATAGAGTAACATCAAAATTGAATAATACTTTTTGTCTCGCAATCGTTTTTCTCTCATCTTAAATTGGACGTTCTGTATTAAACAATTGGCCACACCTTTCTATCACGAGGAACTTCCATAATGGTTAACTGTTCTTGCTTTGGTAAAGCACCATAATCTAAATTCAAATCATGATAACCAATCCCTGATCTTTTTTGCTGTTGAATCACCATAACAGAACCATCAAAAGTAGAATCTGAAGAAACTAAAATGTCACCAATAGGTCCAAGTTCAGGATACTCATTCCAATCAGTTAATCCAATAAACAAACTTGACTCAGTTGCATGTCTTCTACCAACCAAAATTAAATCATAACAACCTTCAAGTGACCTTAGAACATTTATCATTTCAACACTATCCCTTACTACTTCCTCTTTATAATCATGTCGTTTAATTTGGATGCAATCCACTTTAAACTTATGAATCAAATCCCCGTCCGGATCCCTGTTCATTAAGTTCTTGTTTTTCTTTCGAGGCTCCATTAGTCGAACCAATGTGACCCTTACGATCGGGTTGTTCGCCATTCGCATTGCGTACGCTAAGGCTTCACGATCATCGTTTCCTTCTATAAAGACTATTCCAACACTATAAAATGTGACATTTGTTTGAGGATTGCTTATACTCAAAGCACCGCGCTCGATTAGAATCCCAACAGAACAAGGTGCCGTCATGAGAAGCTGACGATTTAACGCCCTAATTGGGTGTGTGGATTCTGTTATCCCATTTGATTTCCATTGTCTATGAAAAGGAACAATCAACAAACAAACTCTCTTTTCAGCAACCTGCATACATATTTCATCATGCATTGTCTCATAAGGTGAAATTGACGTGTAGAGTTTCACAATAACATTGTTTGATTTTTGTTGCTCGTAGGATCGAAACGCATTTATTATATGTTCCGAGTCTTTCTTATGCAGCTGATTCTTCTTGTTAGTCCATTGGTGATCTATAAAAACCGGGGTTGATCTCCCTCTTAGTTGAATAAGATGTAGAACATAGAAACAAATAGGATATTCCAATGAAGGGTTTGAAATTTCAAGAAGATTGATCATAGAAGGTGTGGTTTCTTGGCTATGTATACACGACATGAGACGAAGTTCAATATCTTGAGAATATTGTTCAATGGTTCCTCTCCTATTCAAACATAAGTACTTCTTAGAAGGATCATATAAGAATTTCACAATAGGAGTGGTGACTCCCGTTAACCATAGTAAGGCTATCAACGCATTACCATAGGATTGTTCATCTATCTGCAAACAAAACACGTATAAATTCTCTATATGCAAATCGACCGCATGGCAAATAAATAGAAAGGATTATTGATTCTTACCGTAATATTTAGACCGGCTTGCAAGTAAAACAAATGCGTGATGCCTTGAGCACTCATAAGTAGTCCTAAAGATATAGAATCTGTCATTGGCATCTTCCAAAAAATTGAAGGCAATATAGTTCCTATGACCTTCCCAAGAAATCCACCAATAGCAAGAAGTTGAACAATCACAAATGTATCACCCTCAATTAGAAACATATTGAATCTAGAGCCACTGTAAAGAAAATATAATGGCAAAAAAATATTTGAAACCAAAGTATCCAATCTATCAGTCAATGCTGTTCCTAATGGAGGACCTTCAGGTACAGCTATGCCAAAAATGATAGGTAAAATCAGAACATGTTGCCCGATAACTTCGCTAAAAAATGCGCAGCCGAATAACATTAAAAACACCAATAATATGTGTGATTCTTTCATTTGTCTCCCTTCAGGTGTTTGTCTTATCATCCAACACATTATGGGACGTAAAACGCATACTATCAAAGTAATCATAAAGAGCAAACTCGTCCCCATCAATTGATAAGTCGTATCTATGTTAAATATTTTTTTCTGGGTTAACACCATGCTAACAAGCGCTAATGAAATGGTTCCACTAACCATGGAGGAAGATATCGCTAATCGACCCATTTCAGAGTTTAATAGCTTTAAATCTGCCAAATGGATTGTGGTTACATGGAACGAACCACTTGAGAAGATGAATGTGATGGAAAGTAAGGAACTGTAGAGAGGATGATCAGGAGGTATTGTGTTTTTTGCAAAATAAAAAATAATTACACTGAATAATAATGGAATGAGAAATGATAATATTCCAATTGCCCAAGCTTTTTTTCCCGATTTTGCAACGAGGCTTACATCAATTTTTACTCCAATTAAGAACATAAACATCATGCCTCCGAAAAATGCAATTGTCTGACTTATGTAGAATGTTTTTGGTGGGAATAACCACTTTTGCAGAAATGCACTTTGTCCTATAACTGATGGCCCTAGCATCATGCCAGCCTGAATATACCAATTTCAATAAAAACAAATTGATTAGCATGTATTTATCTAAGTGAAGATAAATGTTAGTTTTAAATACGTTACCAGCATTTGTGCAAAGAATCTTGTCTCCCCCATAGGTTCAAGCAAGAATTGTAAAATTGCAGTCAAGGTAGAAACTAAAGAGATTTGTACGAAGAGAACAGGCAACGTGTAACTAAATGGATTATCTGAAAAGAAAATCCCTCTTGATCTTGGATTCTTAGAAGCCTCTTCACAAATCCATATTGTTCCATTTGTTGTAATGGCATTAATGGTCGAGTTTACAGTACTATCAGCCATGTCAATGTCAAGTTAATCATTTACTACAAATCAAACATGAATGAGATAAGAAAGATGAACTCATGTTTTAATTTATTTGAAGGATGTTTAGCTTTGTGAGATGTTAATGGCAACGCTAAATTGTGGGTTTGGTGTTTTATAATTAGTTTTGTTTTGTGATTACTCTATGTTGATATTTTTAGTGCTAAATTAGTGGTTTAACCATGTAATAACTTTAATTATATTAATTCTAGCTTAGTATGTTCAATTTAGATATATATAAAGGGATAAACCATTAAACCCTTTGAAGTTTACCTGATAGGATCATAACCCAATATATAAAGTCATACACTTAAATTGAGCTTTCACAAATTTGAAACTCCGTCGCCAATGTGAGATGAGAATAATAACTTAAGTATAAAAAAATAAAATAAAGTGGGTATAAGTATTTATTACTATCATTAAAATGTCTATTACAAATTACAATTGTAGTGTGGAGGATTTTAAGAGACAAACTATTTTATGAAAGCGTTTTTCTACTATCTATAATAATTTATATCAATACTTTAATTTTATTAATCATATGACATCTTTTTCTAAAAATGAAAAAATTGATTAGAGTATTATATATTAAGCTTAGTTACAATAAATAATAATGGTTAGTTTGTAAGGAAAATAAGTTATAATGATTGGTTGGTTTTGACTGATATTTTTTCTTCCAACTTTAATTTTTTTTAGCTTTCACTATGAATTCTTTAGACTTTTAGGTTAGTGTGGAGTTGATTTTATTATAACTGTTTTTGGGCGAATACCTCTTGTATTTAATTTATTTTTAATTGTTTTTTGAAAAAAAATTATAATGATACATTTGTTACAGCTATGAGATTTTTTTTTTAAAATAATAATATTTTAAAATAATTTAATACTTAGTTATCTTCATAATTTTCCTCATATTTTTTTAAGAATTAATTTTCTTATAGAAATCAATTATTTCTTTCAAAATAAGTGTCAAATATATTTTTTTTAAATTAGTCCTATACAATTAAATATTTTAAAGTGAAAGGTTTTTTTAATGCAAGTTCTAAACAAAACAAACATATAATTTCAATAAGTTCATTACTAATATTATCTTGTTTAATACAGTCATTTTAAAAGTGAATAAAAATATTTAAAATAATTTAATATATAAATTTTTTATTTTAAAAAAACTGAATTTATAGGAATATTGCACGTTATTAAAAAATTATATTTCTTACGTCATCATCTTCACTTGCAAGATATATTGATTCAGTCCATAATATCCCACCCAACCTATTTTAGGCTGATCAAAGGTCTCGATGACGTAATTCACTTTAAATCCACTCTACTTGATCTAAGATATAAAGTCAATTCGCATATAAAGTAAGATACACTTTCCGATCTCTAATTTTTATTACCACTATATTGAATCTTGAATTGACTTGAGTGTTAGAGTGCTAACTATGCAAATCCATTTCACTCCGTCTTAACGGAGATTAGCATCATTGGTTCAAGATCCTTAGTTCATGAACTACATCCAATCGTGGTTCCTGAACGGAACAATGGCACCGTCTGTGGAAGACGACTTTCGAATTCTACGATTTCCACAGTTTTGCAACCGCTCTCTGATTACTTAATTCATAACCTTCGAGGATCGCTAAAGCAAGAGCAATCAGGATCGAGTTCGAAGATCATGCGTGTCTGATCCAATCAATTATCACTTCAACTACGATTCATTGAATTTCCAAATCTTTGATTTCCTCTAGAACTTCGCGAAGTAAAAGAAAGAAAGATTCTTGATGAATCTTCCCATCTAACATCGCCTTAATTACTCGTTGCTAACGTGATACTTACAGTGGCGACATCAAAGATACGACGAGTTCATAGCTAATGTTGGTGTATATCAAGTACCAAAACACCTTCTATAGGTACCAAAGGATCTCCAAACAATGAAATAAGATCTCCTCAAGACAAATTTGATAGATCGTGATGAAGCTTGTATTGCAATTGAAGCTAACTAATCACGACGAAGTGAAGCGAGCTTCCAGCGCAATTCTTTTATGATCGAGCATGCTGACTCCGATACACCTTTTTCCTTATCACTTAGGTCTGAAGATCAATTGATTTTTATGAAGATATTTTGGTTAAATTCCTCTTCCATATGACTCTTGTGTTGTTCATTAAAAATGGAGACGTCTGAGCACATATACGTCGAAGAACGAGAACTTTAAGAAACCTACAATTAGGGACCGCCCAATAATCAAAATAATTTCCACTAATGCTAGAGTTTGTAGGAGATAACTTATAAGCAACATTCTTCGAGCACCAACGCCCTATCTGATGTATCCAAACTATCATATCCCCATGGTCAGGTCGATGAGATAATAGAGATTCACTAACTATACGCAGGGAAGTGACTCGCGGTCTATGGTAGTAAGTGTTGAGACAAATTTGGTTCATGCAATGTATCCTCAAAGATTTTGATGATAACAAAGTATTTGAAGAACAATTAGGATTTCTAACTAGCTGGTTTATGTGTACAAAATTATATTTACTTGATGAAACGAGTTATGTAACAGAAGAAGCTATGGTTCAGCTCTGATTGAGTACTCGTGAGAGAGCCTGATCATGAAGTTATCAAAAGTACATTTCAGACTCAGGGGCATGTTATACTTGCCTCTGAGACAGAGTAATGTCAACTCATGCTCAAAAATCACGGAACTCGAGAATAGTTGACATTATCTTCAAAAGATCGTGTTGTACTTGTTTCACATAAGAGTTCTCTGGATAAAGGCCTTGTTCTATGGATAATTTTTTGGCTACAAGTTCCAACACCTGATTTATTAGAAAAAAAGGTGTACAAGAAGATTTGATCTGAATATAGTCGTTGAGTGGTTAAACAACTCTATTTCTTCAACTATAAAAGGAGCAGAAGAATTGAAGATCAACCAAGAGAATAACATTGCAACTACAACTTAAATATACACGCACTTCATACAACTTGTAACAACTCAAGAGAAGCCAATCTGTTAGGAGTTCTTATTTTTGTATTGGTTAATAATACTCAGTGATAAAGCGTGTTGTACTATATTTGAACACCTCTGAATGTTAACCAAGTGTTGTTGTAAGTTATTCCTTCTCTAAACAGTCAGTTTAGATAAAATTCTCTTGCCTTGGGCTTGAGTAGTGAAGTCTTGGATTCATGAAGTCTGAGCAGAAAGTCTTGAATTTGAGGGGTTTAAGCAAAAAGTCTTGGACTGCAGGTCTAAGCAAGGAAGTCTTAAACCTGAGGGGTTTAAGCAGGAAAGACATAAGATTTGAGGATCTAATCAGGAAGTCTTGATCAGGTGTTGATTAAGCAAGGAAGTTTCGAGTCGAGGGCCTGAGCAAAAAAGTCTTATACTTGAGAGGATTTCTCCATGATTACAGTGGTTTTGAGAGAAATCACTACTCTGCTAAGCCTTTTGTCTTTAGTGGAAACTCCATTGAGTTTGAATGGTGGAAAAGAAAGATGTACACGTATATCATTGGAACTTATGATGAGTTATGGAATATACTTGAAGATGTTATTGAGATCACTATTGATAGTGTTGGTATGGTATCTGACAGAAAAAACCTTGACTCCATCTCAAAATAAAATTTATAGAAAACGTCACAGAGTCAGAGGTATTTTGGTCGACGCTCTACCACGTATCTAAAATCATTAATAAGTCTTCTGTAAAGAGTATCTTTGAGTCATCGTGCTCTACCTATGAAGGGAATCAACAAGTTATAGAAGAAAAAGCTAACTTGTTGGTACAAAAAGTATGAGTTATTAAAAGTGAAGGATGATGAAGATATTGAAACCATGTCCTCCAGGTTTCAGATCCTTGTATCATGCCTTAAAGTGTTAAACAAGAGTTACTTTACTTCTTATCATGTCAAAAAGATTCTGAGAAGTCTCCCTTTAAAATCCAGACATAAAGTATTAGCTATTAAGGAAGCTAAAGACCTGAATATGCTACCTCTTGAAAGTCTAATCAACAATCTTCATAGCCATGAGATGGAATTGAATGGATATGAGTCTTCAAAGAAACTTAAAACTCTTGCCCTAAGATCTGCTTCTGGAAAATCTGGTGAAAAATAAAAAAGGCTTTCAAAGATCAGTAAACCTGATGAAACTTCTGAAGAATATTCTGATGGTAGATCTGATGATGATGATGATATGGCCTGCTTCATCAAAGGATTTCAACAAATGGCCAGAAGGAACAAAAGATTTTCTAAAAGCAGTGGCTTTAGGATATCTAACTTTAAAGAGAAAGATAAGGATAATATATGTTATAACTGCAAGAAACCTGGTCACTTCTGAAATGATTGTCCTAATCTTCAGAAAGATAGCCAAAAGAAAGGAAGTCATCAGAAGGATAACTTTAGGAACAGATTTAAGAAGAATTTTATGCAGGACCTCAGATAAAGGTGATTTGGTGTGGATATTTTCCAATACCTCCACATATGTTTTGGATTGGGAGTATACCTTAGCTTCCACAACCCTTTGTGGGAAAGAAATAGGCGGGGTATAGGGAGGAGGAACAACAATAGATGCTTCCTTCTCTACCTCTTCAACAACCTCCCTTTCAGGTGGATTTTTCTCAATATGTATGTTTTTCTCACTAGAACTCTCCTTAAACTCATTATCAATCTCTCTAGGATTTTATATTTGTTCTTCACTACTGGTTGTTACAACATCCACATGTCTCTCAGGGAAGGGTCCTATAGGTGTTTGTGTAAGCAGAGAGGTTTGAGTCTCCAATGTCTCACTGTGAGTCACGAGGAAATCAACCATAATGTTCATCTTCCTAAGGTTTTCATTAATTTAGAGATGTTATTTTCTAAAATCTTCATTTTGAAGAGTTTGTGTCTCCACAAAGCGCTCCATCATAGATTTTATCCTAGAGTGAGTAAACGTCGTATTGAATTCCTCTATTAATAGTTTGAGGTTGGATTTATTGAAATCTTGCGGTTCC